TGTGATTTGCCTGATGGGAAACAGTACAAACCTATTAAAGCAAYGCATTAGCTGAATGTAGAGATCTGGATAGGTCTTACTCATTTCTATTTTAGTTGTCTTATTTTTTTAGAGCAATATATATACATATATATTTACATTCTCAGTTTTTATTTTTACTAAACAATAAAGGATAATAAGAAAAATGCAATGCTCAAAGGTTTTGATTAGTGTCACAAAGTCCAGTTCCAGCCCTGTTGCTAGTAGTGACGTCCAGACGTTTAGTACTGTGGTCAACATTGTTTAACCTCTTCATTAGTGAGCTGGATCATGTGACAGAGTTCACTCTCAGCATGTTTGAGTACGATAAAAAAATGGGAGGATTGGCTGATATGCCAGAGGGCTGTGCTGTCGATCAGAGGGGTTTCAAAAGGCTGGAGAAATGGAAAGAAAGGAACTTCACAAAGGAAACTTCAACAAAGGGAAATGCAGAGTCCCATATCTAGGGAAAAAGTACCCCCGATATCATGTTGGAAATTGGATAGCAGCTTTGCATAAAAGGACCCATGAGTCCTGCTGGATAAGTTGAATGTGAGCCAGAAATGTGTCTTTGCAGCAAGGGTGGCTGGCAGTATCCTGGGCTACATTAGGAAGGGCACTGCCCACTGGTTGAGGTAGGTGACCCTTTCTGCACTACTCAGAACTGATGAGACAACATTTGGAGTTCTGGATTCCCCAGGACAAGAAAGACATGGAAAGACATGAATATGCTGGAGCAAGTCCAGCAAAGAGTTATTAAGATGATTAGGAGACTGGAGCATCTGACATATCAGGAGAGGCAGAGAGAGCAGGGATTGTTCGGCATGGAGAAGATAAGGCTTGGGCGATCCTATAAATGAATATAAATACCTCATCAAGAGGGAGTAAAAAAGACAGAACCAGACTTTCCTCAGTAGTGCCCAAAGAAAAGACAAGATGCAATGTGCACAAGCTGAAATACAATAAATTTCACTTAAACATAATAAAAAGCTTTCTTTTTTTTGCTGTAAGGATGGCCAAAAACAGAAGAGGTCGTCCAAAGGGTTGTGAAGATATTCAGACTCTAAATGGACAAGGTCCTGAAAGTCTTTAAGAATTATGACAGCTGGACTGAAATTATTTGTTATTTCAGGAGCATGTTTCATTTGCTGGCTATCAATATCCTGACATTTTTTTTTTCTGATATAAAGGAGAAGAAGAAGAAGGAAGAAGAAAAAAACATCTAACATATTCTCACTTACTCTCAAGAACCCTTAAGAAATTAAGGTCTGTTTGTTTACAGGTTGATAGAAGCTTGCTGATATCAGTTCCAACACATACCCCAAATCCTAGAGCCTCTTAATGCTTTTCATATCATATAAAACTTATTTTCCTATATTCTCCAGAATCTAGTTTTTCACTTTACATTGTGATATAAATTTGACTTTCTTTTTCAGTACCTCCAAACCCAAAAACATGAGTACCAGCCTCCTCCTCCTCTCATTTCTCTAAGGAATGTTATAAAACAGCTGTATAAGCAGAGAATAATTTTCAAATGTGCCAGTGAAGTCAAGTAAGAAAATTTTATGCTTTATCCCATGCTGTTGCATACACATATTTTCAATATCTGGAAAAAAAACTTCCTCTTTCACCTTCTAATCCATCCTTCAGGGTTTTCATTTTTTGTGATACTGTTATCATTTGAACATGCTTATGCTACTGTTCTTTCAAAACACCTTTTAGAATTACAATAACACTGTATATCTCCATAAGTTGTCTCTCATCTTGTGTGAAGACTGTAAGCTCTTAGGATAGTGGCTAGTATTCTGTTTTCTCACAGTATATGAGTCTCTTTGCCAGTAGGACTGTAGTAACTATTAATAGTCTCTATGCCTCGTTACACACATTTTTGTTCATTTTTCTCTTTTTTTAAGAACTGTTCATTGCATTTAAGTACATAGACTTTAAGACATACTGCGTAACATTCAAAAGTAACACTACTTTGTCCTAGAAACATCTGCCAATGACTTTTTTTCTCCTCTAGTCTAATTTTTCTTCTTTGCTGACAGCAAAAGATCTAACTTATGCTGAATCCTCTCCTGAATTCAAAACAAAGCAAAAAGAATCAATGCACCAAAAATTTGCAAGGCGGTGACCTATGAATTTAAGAAAGAAAAAGCTACTTTGCAAATGCCAAGACAAAAAAAAAAAAAAAACACCCAAATAAACAAACAAACAACAACAACAACAACAACAACAACAACAACAACAACAAAAACAGGCAGTCCCACATCTTAGGAAAGTCATTTTTAGCTTCAAACAACTTCTGAGAATCAGTATTTAGACATATACAATAACTATATGTAGATATACATTTTACATTGATATGCATCTTGGACACTCTAGATTTAGAAAAACTTAAATGTAGGGACATACAGCTGGTACAACAGAAAACATAATATCCCAATATATTCTGAAAAGCACCTAAAGCATCTCTATTTACAGCCAAATTTGCAAAGGATCTTCATGAGGAGAATATAACTTGGTTAAAGGTAACCCAATTCTACCGAAGGTACCTTTAACAACTTTTTATCAGGAAATAAGCATGCAGTTATGTTAATATATGGTGAAAAAACTTTTATTAGCACCCTGAACTGGAAAAGCAAGAAATATTGAAAGCTGGCTTGTACATTATTATAAAGAAGGCTTTATTTTGAAATGGTCATGCTTCCTTTTTCCTAACTTGAGTGACTACAGATATCACATAACAATACTGATGAAAAGAGACAGGTAGATAAACCAAGCAACAACAAAGTTCCAGCATGTTGGGAATTATATTTGCTATTCTGTGATAGTCAATATAATTTTTCATGATACTTCATTCCTCCAAAGAGTTTTTAAGGCAATTCATTCAATTTAATGATTTTTTTCATTAAAAATAATTTTAAAGGTTGTTTAGAGGAGCAAGAAATAGTGATCTTCACAGAATGAGGAAAATGACTGCATATTTCTCATTTTTTCCTTAACAAATACAGTTTAACCACCAGGAATCACTTATTTGAGACTTTAGGGAGTCTCAATATATTGGAGGTTGCATATTCTTCATTATTTATTGCAACAGCACAGGCACCACAACTAGCACAATACTTACACAATAAACAACATGACAATTTGCTGCAAGCTGTGTATTGGGTAGTCTTTTTCATAATCTTTATTGCATGGAATGCAGATTTCCTTTTGTTTGCTGGAGCTGTTAAAGGTACGCAGAACCAGCTAGATGAAATCCTGCTCAATGTGCTGTGACTGACATGTAACCCTCCATTTAACCACTGTTATACATGATGAATGGCAATTGATGTGAACATGACGTGAACCTATTCTCAGCCTATTTGCAATCACATATTAGTCTTCAGTCCACAGCTTTGAAATACTATAGAAAAAGCTTCCTTACAAATGACCACATGTTCAGGGAATTGATAACAGTAGTTATTTCTGAATAGTTAATGAATTATATTCTTCAGTACAACTTTTCCCTCTGAACGACTTATTACTACCAGAATATTTGACTTTTATGGCCATCATTTCCAAAAGGCCACCAGAGTGCTTTATATTCTTATGTTATTCTGGTTTTAAGAATGCATTTTGCTTTTGAAATTTGGAGGGAGTATAAGTGAGGTAGAGAACAACTGAAAAGGAGAAGAAAGGAGAATTTCATATTTATGAACATATATATTTTTATAAATAACTCTTGACATTTCTCATGTCAAGAGACATCAGAAACAAAAGCGCTTGGATTATTTTCAAGAGTATTTTTTCTAACAAATCCAAAGTTATTGTAACGATTATTTTTTAAAACAATTATTATTGTTAGGATCTAGATCTCAAAAAAAAAGTTGTCTATAATAGAAGTTTAAAACATATTAGAGAGAAGGAAAAAGTGAGAGGGAGAGAGAGGGAAAGAGACGGGGGGGGAGGGGAGTATCTGTCTGCAAGAAAGATAGCAAAAATACATCTTAAAGAAAGTACTGCCCATAACAGGAAGATACTTCTTTATTACTTTGTAATAGCAATTGCAATTCTATTTAGAGTGAACTTACTGAATCAGAAGAATAAGCAGCTGTTAGCATCAGTAGAAAGGTCTCTGCTTTTTCACTTTTCTTTTTTTTTTTTTTTTTTTTTTTCTCATTTTTGGCCTGTTTGGGGGCTGATGGGGAATTATGACTAAATATGCAAGCTCTGTATCTTCATACAGAGATTCACAAGAGTGATCATTTTTTTGTGACATTATCACACCTTTCTGTGAACCTACAGCCATCCTTTGAAATTTCCAGTACAATAGCCACACAGCTACATGACAAGTTAATCACATCCTGTTGACTTCACCAAATACTCACGATGATTTTATTTGCAAAGAAATACCTTTTACCCACACAATAACTTAAAGGCTGTGAATTCATTATAAAGACTCATTTAAGTAGGATCATTGGCATTCATTACACTTACCTGATTATGTGGAGTAGAGGTTATAGGGCTATTTTCCAGCTCAAAACCATGCGATAGCCATTWAAAAAAAAAAAAATAGTGCAATGCTTGTAAGTTATGAAAGTTAGTGTTTACTGACAATGGTCTTGTAAAAGGCTTCTATGAATAATTAGTGAAATTTGCTGCATTGTTTGTGGTTAAATGTGCCACGTGCAATTATTTATACAGAGATACTGCATATAGACTGAGGCTTAGATTAGATGATATTTAATAGTTCTGCTACTATAAAAAATTAGTCGTCACAAGTATTGCTTTTGTCCTAAAAGAATGACAAGCCTCTTTTCACAAAGAGAAATTGTTATATAACTCTCTTGCTCTCACTAGCATATTGAAAGGAATAAAAAAAAAAAAGCAATATTGCACAGAAAGATGGATCAAGCATGAATCAATGTGGCAAGCACATAACCAAACAGACATGGAATTAAACAAGAAAAAGAACTCAACAAAGTTTATTGCTTAACCTGTTTTGTCAGAGCTGGTATTGATGGTATTGGTAGTGATGGAAGTGAAGGTAGTCTTTGCGCTGTCCTTGGTAGTAACAGATTTCTGCTTATTTTTCATGGCTTCCAGTGCTTTGAGCTTCTTGGCATGTTTAGTGCCTTTGTAGTGGGCCGCAGCCTGGCTCTACAAAGGAGAACAAAATGAACCATGCAATCAGGCTCATTTCTAAACTGGCATTCTCTGTATTACTACAAATACAGACTACCTTTCAATAATGGGTACCATTGACATTATGCAAGTAGTGGCCAAGCTGAAATATATATTTAGAATGATGCTTAGGAAACAATAATCAAGCAATTCTAATTTGAGAGATGGAGTGAATAACCGTATAACAGTATATTATTATCAGTCCAATGTTAGTTTATTCAACCATGCTTAAAATATATATATAAGTTCTTCTATTAAGAACTTCTTCATTTTTGCTTAAAAAAAAAGAAAAAAAGAAAAAGAAAGCAAAAGAAAGAAAGATCTCAGGTGACAGGGACGGAAGCACTTTTGTCGCATTAATTTTGCAGTTATCCAATGTCTACCACTGCAGATTTTGTCAAAATTTCCTTCAAGGAATAGTTTTCTTTCAGCAACAGAATCAAGAACTTCCCAGATAGAAAGCAAAGACTAGCAGTAAAAAAGAAACAAAACAAAGAAACCCCAAAGACTCAAATTAAACTCAAATTAAAAAAAAATTAAAATATAGTATAAGCCCCTAAAAGCTCCTCACCAAAGATACAACTGAATTTTGAGTCAGGCATGCAATCATCTAGGTTTTAGAAAAAGCATTACTGAAGTCTACCTTCTACAAAGTATGGTGTTTGCAATTCAAAGCAAGGAGTATCCTTTCAGAGGAGGAACCTTAAACACATCCTGTCACAGTGCCAAATGTATTTTGTCTACTTGACCCAGTTAAGCTAAAATAGGTATGTGTGCTGATACTGAGATTTATATACTACACTGAAAGTATCTTTATATCTTTTAGAGTTAATAGCAACATTTATTCATTTAATTTACGTTGCAAGTGAATTTTAAGAATATGTGAAGTATAAGATTACATTTCATACAAAAAAAATCTGGACTTAACAGATATTCAGACATCAGTATCTCCAGTATCATCTTATCTTATTTAAGCTCCTGTTGTTTAAGACAGTCTTCCACTTAATAAATCAAAACCTGATACATTCCTTATATTTCTGTTGCTGAACTTGAAACTACTGAAATCAACTATTTTCTTACTCAGGAAAGATTCTTACGTCTCTACAGCTCAAAATACTCAAAATTTAGCTATTAGAGAACTGAAGAAGTAAAAGACCAACTATGCTGAGCAGTCCAAGAAACCCCCACATTGATCAAGATTCCTTTTCTGGAATGGAAACAATAGCAGACTGTTAGAGAGAACATATAAGGTAAACACGTGCTGTTATGGAATTAGAAGCAGCAGCAAACACATAAGGAATTTAATGGCTAAGGGACAAATCACTCAATTCATTAAGCCACTTGCAGGTAGAAGACTCCTGCATATTCTAGCATCTGTTAGTCATTAGACCTGTATTTAATATTGCCCTGTGCTGGATATTGTGGGAGGGGAAATTCCAGGAAATTCCACTGTAAGAGTGTATGTTATTTAATCTCGAGATTCATGGCATTCAGCATTCATGAAAACTCATGATTCCTCCCAAATGCTGGAGATTTGGAAAGCTCAAGGTTCCCAGAGGTAGATAGATATACATACATGGTGTCATATATTTAGACGCATCATTCAGTTTGCTTGAAAAGCCATTTTCTGTGTCTATAAAATAATGTAAATGTTGTCCTTGGTACCCTTATTGAAAGAACACTGGATAGTGAAGATTTTAATTAGAAACAACTTGAACAAGAACAGCACAATCATGAACCTTTTACAATTCCCAACACATAACATCAAGAGACATACTGTAAGCCAAATACAAACAGTCAAGAAATGTTAATTATTGTTAAACTGAAAGGCCAGTGTCAAGTTACGAGGAAGCATTAAAAATGACATTTTACAAAACATTCTTATGACATGGTCATGTCAAAGCTATTTTTACAGTTTATAGCCAAATTTAATTATCAGTCAGCTCCAGATTCTTATTTTTACTTGTTTTCTATCACTAATAGTGTCATTCCTCAGATACGAGAAAGGTAGCCAGAATATGATCCTTAACACTAGATTATTTAATTTTGGTGTTAGTCCAACACACAAACATTCTTCAACGACATCTCAGTAGAGCATCTCAGATGCATCTCTCATATCCTGTACTCCTGCCTCCAAATTTGCCTGGTTACACCTCCACAAATCTTGATTCAAGCATTGGTGGATGCACATACACGATGAGGCCCTACACAGAAATTTCAGTGTTCTGAAATACATAAACGAAATTGCTCCAAAGTAGAAACACATTTCTGAAATTTACAATGGCTGCTACATAGTTGTTCATTACTCACTTCCCAGAGTGCTGCTACTTTACCCAGTTGCTACCTAGAGAAATTATTTATGCCTTTGTTATTTCAGAATTTAAACATCCATTCTCTGTGGTAATATGAAGCCATCTAAGCTTATTTCCAGATAACCACACTGGCAAGTTAATGGTAATTCTACATGGGAGCGGACAGCTTGCTCCTAAGAATTTAACCAGCTCCAAATTATCTGACACTAAACTTTTACAAATGAACTGGAATTCAAAAATAAAATAAAATAAAATAAAATAAAATAAAATAAAACAAAACAAAATAAAATATGTAATTGCCTTTTCTCACAAAAAAAATAGGATGGAGGAAATGTAAAAATATTTATAAACATCTTTTCAGCATGTCAACATAAACTACCACCTCACCGAATGACATCTGAAAGCCCTAAGAGAATCAAAACAAGACTCACAACTTAAATGGCATTTACTTTGCTTAAAAACTAAGATAATAAAATGCAATTATTCCTGAACTTCATGTAGAATTGCAAGAAACAGTTGTTTTCAACATCGGTCTGTAATAAAGAGCCAGAGATCTAATTGCATAATGGACTTCGATGCATCTGTGATATAAAACAGGAACGATGTGCATAATATGATTCTTTTCATTTTGAGATAAAACTTTTGCCCCCAGCTAATCAATTTACCCTTTTCCCTGAGTAACAGCAATAGTGAAAAGGATCTTCCAATAGAGAAAAAAATTATATATTTCTCCATTATCATGGTAGAAGAAAATAAATGTCTCAGCAAGTTCACTCCCAGGTACACAATTTCCTCTCCCTGGAAAACAAAACAAAACAAAACAAAAACTTCTCTTTCTTACAGCATTAATTCAACACACTCTGCAATACACCCTGAGACCTAACAACTAGACAGGAAGAGTGACTTCTGAGCTCACTAGTTCCTTGTGCACGAACAAGGGCGTTCCATCTACTTCCCTATGTTTATGCTCCTCAGAGTTATTTGTGCAATGGTGAGAGACTGCATCAAATGCAATGTACCATCTGCATCACGTTTTGAAAGATTGCATTGACCCATTCCTATGCTAGAATCATCAATCCTACACTAAATTCATCTCCTGCTATTGTGGAAAGGAAATCTTCAAACTTTGCTGCAGATCTTTGAATTTAGAAAGATCTGCTGAAGAAAGAAAATGGCTTTTACTGTCTGCCAAGAAAACGTTTTTTGTTTTGATCAGTTATAGAAGACCAAAATCTCAGACTTGATATGTCTTGTCACATAGCACGGTATCTCTAATACCATGCATCTTCTACTGAAGGATGCCATGGAGTGTTGCATTACATGAAATAAGCCAGGCCAAGTACAAAAAAAGTACAAATAGTTACAGTGCTTTCCAAACTGTATTCCAAGGAGATATATGCAGCATCAAAATACATATGCTGAAGGGAAGACAATTCAAGTAGCTTGTTTCTTCCCATATCTGCATTTTTCTAATGTTAAGGACAACAGTACTTAAACAGAAGTTCATTGCTTGACAAAGTTCAATTAAAAGAACTTTGAGAAAATATTTTCTTTTGAAAATTGGTACAGTCAACAAAATTAACTTTAATATTTATATTATTATTGTTATATTTAATCTAATGCGTAGTATATTAAGCAATGGATTGCTTAATACATTCAAGCATCATTATTTATTTTCCCTATGGAAAATCTTACTGTAGTCAGAGTTTCAAGAAAAAGTAAAACTTATTCGTGATTAATCTCAGAATAATTTTAGAATGAGACAGAAGAAAATTAAACTATAGGCACCGTTACGTGTAACTCACAATAATTTACTCACAATATATTAATTCAGCTTAGAAAATATAAACTGCATGCCTCCAGTTTTGAATCTGGAACTGAAATGTGTGGAACTGAGAATTTAAGCAAAGTATATATGTCCTTAAATTTTAGAAAAAGCATAACCCAGATTCTCTCCACTAGCAGTAAAGATCCTCACATGCCTTTTATTCATTGGGTAAATAAACAGCTTTTGAGTGCTGTGTCCATACTGGAAAACTGAAAAGGGAGATGTTGACATACAAACTAATCATGAAACAAAAGAGAAAACTCCCACTCTGAATACAATATGGTTGTAATTTACTCTCTAATGTAAAAGTAATTCATCATCCAGGGTTATCCATGTTATATGTTGTTTAAAAACAAAGGGTGCTGTTCAATGTAAAATATCTGCTTTAAAAACAGCAATTTTCTGAACAGTCAGAAAAGGTCAGTGAGTCTTTTTTGAAGTCATCTAAGAAAGAATAACAGCAATGCACATACAGCCAGGGCGTTTTTGAATCTCTGCCACAGTTCACATTGGAAAATTGGATTTGAGACTGTTCATGTACATCTATATATCTGCCTGCTTGCCTAAAGACTCAGCTCACAGGTGAACTTCATATTGACTAGGTGTAGGACATTTGAATCCCTGTGAACTGATAATTAAAGAAACCTGAGTGGGTGGGTTTATTGTAGCTCATTTGAGTGTTTTCACCTGCTTTCTGTTGCTAAGGAAACCAGTTCTTTTGTCTGTGTACATTCATAATAGCAATCTCATTGAATTCTAGGTTTGGGATTTTTTTGACTGAAAGCCTCAAAGAATAGTGATGAGATATAAAAATGCTACAAAAATTACATAGAGAC